GGGGTAAAGAAAGCTAGGGAAGGGGTAAAAAGCTAGGGAGGGAGGGGTAAAGAAAGCTAGGGAGGGAGGGGTAAAGAAAGCTAGGAGGGAGGGGTAAAGGAAGCTAGGGAGGGGGGGGAAGCTAGGAGGAGGAGAAATAAAGAAAGGAGGGAGGGAGGGGGCTAGGGAGGAGGGAGAAATAAAGAAAGCGAGGGAGGGAGGGAGGGTCAGTTTGAAATTCCAATCACATGAAGAAGGCCAGTGCATACAATGGCTGAAATGTCATGAATATGGCAACAAAGATGAGGACAACAGTTCAAACGATGTAAATGACGTAAATAATAATCTTTCTTGTATAAAATATGAATGTACTCAATCATTACAAATGTGATAGTTTCAGAGTAAACAAACTGTCAAAGACATTTCACTGCTGAGTAAGCTCAGAGGAAAGTGTGTGTTCCATGCATAATGTAGTAAGTTCCTTTCTGATTGGTTGTCAGGTTACAGCAAATCTGTGTAACTGGTTCTTGAGACGTTTAAAATGGCTTCCTGGACATACCTCATATTTGCATTTACTGTCATCAAAAGAACCACCATGTTTTTCTTCTTACTTGCTCATTTTAATATTGATAATAATCATTTTTGAGGAAAATTATAATGCCTGTAAGATTGAACCATACTTTTACTTAACAATATAATTAAATAAAAAATAAATTAACAGGTGATTGTTCTGAATTTGAGAATGATTTCATATCCAAATATTATTTGTCTATATTTATGCTCACAGCACCCACACACACACACAAAAAAAAATTGTTAAAATACAACTTTGTAAAAACTACATGACTGAAATTCAAAATACTTCTATTTTTCAATAGTAAAAGCCTGCTAAAATGCTTTCATGTTAAGAAATGCTGATATTTGATCAACATGTATCTGTTCACAGGTATATATGAAGGGATACATTGTCATATAGGACATAAATGAATGGAATTGTCAGTTTATATAAATAAGCGGAGTTGAGGAGAGTTAGCATTAGGTCAATTGCTAAGTTAACTTTTGTGTGATAAACCTATTTAATTACTTACCTACAAGTGTGTGTCCCTTATTTATTTCTCACTGTTATCTCAAAAACACAAGATACAACACACATAGATACGTGTGTGTATATATATATATATATATATATATATATATATATAATAGTTGTATCTATATGTGTGTACAAGTATATATATATATATATATATATATATATATATATATATATATATATATAATAGTTGTATCTATGAGTGTACATTATATATATATATATAATAGTTGTATCTATGTGTGTACATTATATATATAAATAGTTGTATCTATGTGTATATATATATATATATATAATAGTTGTATCTATGAGTGTACATTATATATATATATATATATATATATATATATATATATATAGTTGTATCTATGTGTGTGTATATATATATATAATAGTTGTATCTATGTGTGTGTATATATATATATATATATATATATAATAGTTGTATCTATGTGTGTACATTATATATATATATATATATATATATATCTATGTGTATATATATATATATATATATATATATATATATATATATATATATATAGTTGTATCTATGTGTGTACATTATATATATATATATATATATATATATATATATATATAATATATAGTTGTATCTATGTGTACATTATATATATATATATATATAAAATAGTTGTATCTATGTGTGTACATTATATATATATATATATATATATAAAAAGTTGTATCTATGTGTGTACAAGTGTGTATATATATATATATATATATAAATAGTTGTATCTATGTGTGTACAAGTGTGTGTGTGTGTGTGTATATATATATATAAATAGTTGTATCTATGTGTGTACAAGTATATATATATATATATATATATATATAAAAGGCTCTATAATGTGTGTGTGTGCACAAATATACTGGGTATATCAAAAATACTTTTACAAACATTGGGGGCTGGGTTCCTGACATCAAAGCATGGTAAAATGTCCATATAAACACATGACCAAAAGGCCATTGTTGTACCTCAACATAGCAACTTATAACAGATGTTCAAAATGTCCTCTACTTGCTTCAGCACATGCTTGCACCTATCAAATCATTGACTGGCAGATCCTTTCAAATACTCCCATATGTTGTCGAATGGTTTCACAGGCCCCCATGACACATTGATGAAGTGTTTCTGCATTATTAATGCCTGCTGCATATACCAATTGTTTTAGGTGGGCTCCACAGATAAAAATCCAAAGGATTAAGGTCGGGGGAATATGCTGGCCATGGAACTAGTCCTCCCCTACCTATCAATCTTCCATAGTAGATGTCAACCAATTCATCGCAAACAATGTGATTAATATGTGCTGGAACCCCATCATGCATGAACCACATGCAGCTTCGTATTAGCAGGGGTACATCCTCTAGCATGTCTGGAAGTATGTTCGAAATAAAGTCCCTGAAGATAGCTCCTGTAAGACGTTCTAGGAAAACATATGGACCTACCAGACAATCACCTACAATTCCAGCCCACACTTTAATCATAAACTGATGCTGGTGTCTAGCCTGTATTGTATGATGAGGGTTCTGATCTGCCCACAAATGTCGGTTGTGCAAATTTGTTATTTCATCTTTTTCAAATGTTGCCTCATCCGTAAACAAGACTAAAAAACCAAAAAAATAGATCAGCAGTTTGTGCAATAAACCATTGGCAAAAATTCTTCTGTGGTGAGTGATCCAAAGGGGAAAGACCCTGCACACATTGCAAATGATATGGATACAGGAGCTATTCTTGAAGTACCATCTATGTGGTACCATGAGATGTGGCTAGGGCCACTTGATGTGTGCTGATACCTGGTTGACATGATAATCCAACCAACCCTGAAGTCACAAGGATAAATGTTGAAGTAACACCTCACAAAAAACTGTCACTTAAACACAAAGTTTTAAGCACCATATGTGGAAAGAAGCAAATATAAGTTTGAATAAAACCTTCAGATCAACTTTTAGTTGGATTAAAAAAAGAGAGTTATAGTAATAAGATTTGAACTTATATCAAAATTCTTGCTTGACATCCAGCAGAAGTGAAACCATAAAATGTATAAAAGGCAAAGTAAATGGATTGCAGTGTGCACCAATTTTACAATTGAAATTAGTTTAATTATGCCACCAAAATTGTGATTCTTTACTATCATTTGAACATTTTCACATGTGAATCTTTAAATACCCCTCCTCTTATTAATGTTGTTACATTCTATTCTTTAATGCAGTTTGTCTTTTCACTTCCTCGTATTGTAAACAACAGTCTGCCATTTTCTGAATAAAAAAATTGACCTCTGGCATCAATAATGCTTGGGAGACATCTCTAGTGGAGCTTTAAAAAAAAATATCAATATTACAGACAAAAACTTGCAAATACATATAGTAAAATGATCAGAATTCTATTTGTAAGTACAGAGTGTCCATAAAGTTCGTGTGCACTTTAAAAGTTATAATTTTTTTTTTAAAAGTGCACACGAACTTTATGGACACCCTGTATATTTGTTATTTCAGCATAGCAAATGTGTCACATTATAGCAAGATTTTTGCTAGCACAATACAGTTAAAACATTATAGCAATTTCAAATCCATATAGTATAGGGTCTGTATTCATGCTCATTCTGAATGATCCAATTTCTCAAGAGAACTTTAGGTATATTAAATGGTATTTAGAGAGCAGTCTGTTTTATTTAAATATTTGCAAATAATTATGAATTTTTTTTTCATCTTTCATGGATCAAATTTTGTGATTACTATTCTCCCTAATTTTTCTAAAGCTCCAAAAGTTTCAAAACCTGCCTAAAATAAAAGCATTTGCAAGGTTCAGTTAAAATAACCCAAGCATCTTAGAAAAATGTCAGGACAAGGACACAGATACTGAACCCACACACAGAAGCTATTAATCAGTTAGTGTCTCTAAATTCTTAGATTTTTTTTGAGATGGCTTCCATAACCAGCCATACTATCAATTAATTGCTTCACTAAAACCAAAGCATTAAAAAATAAATTAACATTGACGCCAAAAACATTCATAAAATGAAAACATTAACACATTGTCCAAAATATCTTTTACTTGGCGCCAGCCACTCAACTCCAAAATCTAAGCAATCATTGTTTTTTCAAAGCAGAATATCAATCACCCTCGACAAGCATAATTCTGTGCTATGCACGGTTCCCCTCCCTTCCAAAAAGTGGAGGGGTCTTTTACAAAATGAGAGTAGAAGATTTAGTTTTAAGTTTAATAAGAAAGAGAAAAACTTAGCCAATATTTTTAAAATCAACTACAAAAACACATTTCAGCTTTCTTCAGCTTTTCATTCATTAAAAACAAGACTATACAATGTCATACACAAACAGTTTATACATTTTTTCTATAGTTGAAGGCATACAATTCCGCTCAAAATAAATTAGTTGAAGCTATAAAATTGTCTTCAAAATATTTAGATTTCATCATAGAGGTTGATATGCCACTAATCATTTTGAAAGAGAATTTAAAAGCTTCAAGGAAATAAATTCTGCTGATACACTACAATTATATACTTGTCAGTAATAATTAAAAACATGAAACATAAGATTAGATAAACTCGTTTGAAAACTATACATTTTAATTGGCATTTTATTTTACTAGTTTATTTATACAAATTTTATTGATTTATGTTCCACAGCTTATCAAATTTGCAGGCTAGTTAAAGCCAGAAAATATTGTTTTTAGATTCTAAGATGTTTTTGTTTTGAGTGGTAATAATGATTTAGTGATACAATACTTACTACTTAACCCATATCTGGGGGGAGAAGAGGTGGATTTATACATTCCCCCAAGGGTGTTTGTGTGCAATATAATGAACACAATGGGAATTGAACTCTGCTCTCTGATTAATAATTCTGAGCCATTATCCATTACATCCCCAACACATCCAAGCTTACAGCATTTGGTATTCTCAAGTAGTTACCCATCTAGCTACTAACCAGGCTCAACATTGCTTAATTTTGGTGATCATATGGGAACTGGTGTTTCAACACTATATGTAAGCCAACATCTGAATTTGGCTTCACATCTAGTCAGGATCAAATTCACTATCAATCACTTGCAAAGCAAACCCAAGTACCTTTTATAGCATTTCATACATGTAAATCCAATTAATACAGCCAAGCAGGATGGTAAAAATGCTCATAAAGAGACTGCATTTAATTAATCTTAAAAATCAATATTTTTATGAAAATTATACATAAATACAGAAATGTAAATAATCATGTGTGAATGTGAATCAAATATTTTCTAATATGAAGAACTAAATTTAATTACTAAATTATTAAAACACTCTGATGAATAAAGAAAGATAACTTATAAAAAAGGTTGAATTTTTTTAAGTCCTAGAGGTAAGTTTAAGAAAAAAAAAATTTTTTTAAAGTGAATTTAGGGGATTTGATGGTAGCAAAAAAAGCGGGAGAGATAACCTGCCTTGTGGCTGAGATAGTTGCATACTTCTCATTGGTGTCAGTGGCTGATATTTTGAACCTATATAAAAAACTAAGATTCTGAATGACGCATATCAAAGCAGGCACACCCTTTCTAAAATGGAGGATTTGCGCAACATCATAAAACCGAGTCAGAGACTAAGAAAATTGAAAAAAAAAAAAAAAAAAAAAGGATCTTTGCTTCTTAGCAGAACAGTTATAATCACATAGATTTTCATCCCTTACTATTATTGTCTTATGCTTTGTATGTTTGTTACTGTAACAGCAAAAATGGCACATCATAATGCAGTTTTTTGTTAAACACCAATTTGAATGCTCTGACTTCAAGAATGAGCAATTAAGCCATTGGTTTCAGAGTAATTTTTTTTTTATTAAATATGAAAGAAGTTAAAAGGAGATAACTCCAGCTTTCTTAACTGCTAATTACAGTCATTTACTCTAAATTCAGATTATGATCATGCCTTTTTAGTTTAATACATTTTTATTTATTTACCAAAATAAAGCATAAGCTACCATTAGAAATTAATGCAACTATCAAAAATGTACATGTCCCTATATAAGTATTCAAACATTAAAGATAGGCATGAATGTGTTATAAAAAAAAAAAAAAATTCCCTTTGTTAATATGAAGACATCAAATCTGAAGCTCTTAACAATCAGACATGGAACTTAAAGTTCTTTTCTTTAATTATAAACCCTAAATACATTTTGCTATTAAAAAATAACTACTAAAGGCAAAGAAGCCACTTATTGTGATCATTTCGAGACAGGATCTTTTAGATAGCAATAACCAACTGATAACATTAAGCAAAGGATATAAAAATGTATTTACCAAAATAAAGCATAAGTAATGTTAGAACTTCAGCCAGGTGTAAGTGAAAGCAAACTCCATTAGACAATCAGCTTAATGAGCCACCTAACTAAGCTCATCATCTGGATTCTGATGAATGGAGGGTACAGCAGAATTAGACCCAAAATAGAACAAAAGCACTGGAACAAGAAATGCAATATTTATGATTGGAGTGATATCAGAAGGCTGTATATCTGTTTCATAGACTATACAAAAGCATTTGATAAGGTATGATACAAAGGTATATTTGATCTTCTAGGAAAAATATACATCAGGCTAACTGAAAGTCAAAGTAAATTATGGAAGATGCTAAGTGGTGTAATTTAATGTCTAATAAATGAAAGTTAGTAAATGTTGGTATTGTTGTTGAATTATTTCTTTTCAATATTAGGGTGTGTCTTCCAAGCCAGAAAATATGGTATTTACCAAAATAAAAGATAAATAATGTTAGCACTTCCTAAGAAACCAGGTGTAAATGAAAGCAAGCTCCATTGGACAATCAGCTTAATGAGCCACCTAACTAAGCTAATCATCTGGATTCTAGTGAATGGAGGGTATAGCAGAATTGGACCCAAAATAGGACAAAAACTTTTACAAAAATAAAATCTAAGTAACCTGAGACAATTTCTTAGGGTAAAACATACATTGCCTTTTCTAAGAATTCAAATATCCAAGAAATGAGTATTGTTAATTTGAAGTTAGTAACAATCAGACAGAGATCAAAGTTCTTTTCTTTAATTATAAACCCTAAACACATTTTGGTACTTATTATGATCAATTCAAGAGAGGATCTTTTAGATAACAATAACCAACTTGACATATATCGCTGTACCAAACTTACAGCAACCGCCGTCTGTCTAACTCTCTGCATTTTTGCAGGGAGGAACCCGGACGAAGCTTTGCCGAAGGGCAAGGTTTCATTCGGGGAGGTTGACAGCTCTCGAACTCGGCTAGGCGAGTCGAAGGCTATATTTTCGGCCGGGCCTACGGGCTCGGGTGACCACGTAAAACTCGGCCTTGTGCCACATGCGACCCTACGTGGCGGGACAGCTAAATAAATAACCAACTTGACATTGCTTAACATTAAGCAAAGGATATAAAAATAGGAAAAATTTATATTCATTATAATAAATCTTGTTTTAAGCAACTTTACATGATAAAAAATTAATGAAATTTATTAAATTGAAATATTTATAATTTTAATTCATTTTAAATAAAGTGTTTGAGATGAATACAGTTTGATTATTAGAAAGAACTTTCTCTATCTAGGAGAAATGTACAAATCAATATATATCTAAATATTTTCTAAAAATGTTCCAATAAACAGAAAAAAAAAAAAATCTTTAAGATGGTCATGGACATCCGCCCTGAAATATTCCCTCCCAAATTACACCCTTTCAGTTAGTGACCCATTTTTGAGAGCATGAAAGAATTTACTTCCTTAGCCCAGAGATGCAAACCAAAACTCAAGTGAAACACTAAGGATCTCCCCCTCTGTTTGCAGGGTCAACAAGAATTTATCTTGTTGATAAGATGGAGGCTGTTGGGTACATTTTTTACAATCTACCCAGTGAATAGCACTTTACTTATATGAGCATTATTTTTAAATATTTGTGGTTCAAGTTGTTCATCTCTCGCTACACACACATATTACACACACACACACACATATATATAAATACATAACAGAGGATGTCTGTGTAATACCTTTTCACTCAAGATCCATCCAACTGATTTTGACCAAACTTGGCACAACATACATTGCACAATGTAAGAGATAGGTTCTGAGTGATAAAAAATCAATAATCGATAAAGCCAATCAAAAACCAATGAATTCAATTTTTTTCCTCTGATTTTGTTCAAACTCAGTATGTAGGTTACTTACATCATGACAAACTCAACAATACTTCATTTTTACACCACTGCATTTAGTGAAAAACTGCAAAAAATGAAAAATCAATTTCAACAAATTTTAAGCTAAAAGCTCCCTCAATTTTCAAGCAAACTAATACAAACTTCACTCAATTGTAGCCAACAATTGGTTGATTGTTTAACAGTCATTTAATTTGATAATTGAGTTCACCCATATAGTGAAAACCTGCATAAATAGTGAAAAATGGCAATTTTTACTGGTTTCTTTCTTATTTTCTGTTGATCTTTCAATCAATTTTCATCAAACTTAACAATTGCTTTATAAATGTATCCTCTTTTACATCCCTGGTAGCACACTGACAAATTGAGTTTCAAAAACTCAAAAATAATTGTGGTCTGAAGTAGGTCTTCATTTTGCCTGTTTTACCCTATCATGTCCTCGGCTAACTTCGAATAAATACAGACTACTTCTGTTATATCAGTAACTGCATTAATTCAAAAATGTTTTTTAATAAAAGTACTTTAAAGTAATTGAAGAAGATAAACTCTGTTACATCTAAACATGATGCTGTTTTTGCTCCATTCTAATTGAATGCTTTTTCTGATCGACCAGCTGAGTATGGCTGCTAGTCTTAGATAAATGTCGATTTCACAATGATGTCTGAAGGTAGGAAAAAAGGAACAAATGCCCTGTTTAAATGTTGCATTCAAAATTTCAATGATAATCTTCTGTTGGATTTAATTTGGTTGTCAGATTATATCAAAACCCTTTCACCATTATAGGAAAATTCACCTACAAGATCACAAGTGAAATTAATGATTTGTCAATGACCATTAACTGTCTAAAGAGACTTTCTTCACCTTGTTTCTTTTTATGAAGTTCGTATATGCATTTCTGTATATTTCAGTAGCTCTCACAAGTTGTTAACAAATGCTGGCTGTTCATATGGATGTGCTTATCATCAGAAGCTTTTATGATATAAGACTAACATTAGAAGCTTTTATCTTAACTGGAAACCCTTCATTCATGGCTCCTAGATTGATATCCAAGATCTTTGAAACTGTTCTGTACATTTAGTAACCTTTTCGGAGAAACTCTTACACTGTCCTATAATTAACATGTGCAAAAATGATAAAATTATTTATATAGAGAGAGCAGCATTTAGAATTAGTGTAATATCTAAGTGCATTGTGAAAAACATTACACACACTGTATGACATTAACTGCCTACTTGTTTATTTTCACAAGAAAACAGAATTGGGAAAAGCAAGGGAGAGGAAGGAAGAAAGAAAAAGAAAAGAGAAAGGTGAAAGAAATAGGGAAGAGATAGATGCAACAAAAAGATGTATATGGTTTGCTGTCTTGGGACTCTGCTACTCCTTTACTCCTTTAAAGTGGGTGAAGCTATATTTAATATTCTATTCATTAGCAAGGTGTTTACTATAAAGAAAACTTTACAGCAGAGCTAGATTTTTTTTAACCAACAAGTTTTATTTTAGGCTACAATAAAGCAGATGTGTCATCTACCGAGTTTCAAGATGCTTTGCATGTTATGCCGATTCAGTAAAATCAGCCTTTTAGAATAACTGGGAATTATTTATGAAAGCATAATTATTATCTAAGTAGTGACTTTTATATTTATAGTTTCTAAGCCTCTTTAAGCAGTATTTCTGGTTTGTGGATGTGTACAGAGAGAGAGAGAGAGACACCAAAAGATCATAGTCAGATATTAAAATTAAAATTTCTTAACATTTTTGTTTGTTTATTTTATTTTTGTTGTTGTTGTTGTTGTTGTTTACCCCATGCTGGGATAGATTTTTA